AAGACGCTTGCTCCTGGGGAGGAAAGCTATGGTAAATCTAGACAGCACACTAAAAAGCAGAGACATCACCCTGCCAACAAAAGTGCGTATAGTCAAGGCTATGGTTTTCCCAGTTGCAATGTATGGCTGTGAAAGCTGGACCATAAGGAAGGCTGAGCACCAAAGGATTGAGGCCTTTGAATTGTGGTGCTGGAGGAGACTCCTGCGAGTCCCCTGGACTGCAAGGCGATCAAACTGGTCAGTCCTAGAGGAGATCAACCCTGACTGCTCTTTAGAAGGCCAGATCCTGAAGATGAAACTCAACTCCTTTGACACCTAATGAGAAGGAAGGACTCCCTGGAGAAGAGCCTAATGCTGGGAATGATTGACAGCAAAAGAAGGGGACGGCAGAGGATGAGGTGGCTGGATGGAGTCACTGGGGCAGTTGGTGTGAGCTTAGGTGGACTCCGGGGGATAGTGGAGGACAGGAAGGCCTGAAGGAATATTGTCCATGGGGTTGCGATGGGTCGGACACGACTTCGCGACTAACAGCAACAAAATTCCTGACTTTTGGCCATGTGGCAGGAACGTCCAGGAGCTGAAGTCCAAAACATCTGGAGATCTACTTTCTGCTTATCTATATGGACAAGAATAGGGCTGACAAGTCCTCAGGTCAAGGGTCAGTTTAGGCATGAGCTCATAGGTGATTTGGATGTAGTGTTAACCCAGAGTTTAGTATTACAAGAGTGAGCCATCACAAGTCTTGGGCTTGCATGCTTCCTTCAGTCCTCCGGCACAGCTGTGAGCAGGAGGTTAGAAGTGTTTGCTGCTTTTCTAGATTAACCATGGCTTGTTGTGTCTTTCCAACCCAGGAATATGTTGGTTAAACTTAGTTAAAACATGCTGACTTCAAACCATAGTTTATGAAGCTGGCTTGTTTCAGTTAAGCATAAAATTAGCAACAATTGAGGGTTTGGCCACATGCTAAACTGTGGTTTGCCCTTCCCTTATTTATGATATGTTGATAATAGTGGAAAAATGTTAATCTTCCCTTCCCATCATTTTTCCTTTTGGGTTGTAGACTTTCAGATTTTAAATGGGTAGACAGGGATTGTCTTGTTCTTGGCAGCATGTAAGTCTCTTCAGGAGCAGAGGAGTCAAACAGAACTGTTTTAAATAACAGCAATAATCGTTTTATTCCTTTATGCAGGCTTTGCTGGAAGGATTTGTGTGTGAAGTACTTTGACTATTCTGATGTGATATATAAATGCAAAATTTTAAGGATTGTTGATCTCCAATTCTGATGAGTTGGCTCTTGGGCATTGTTGTAGAAATTTACTTAAGCCCGAATCTAGGTTAACTAAAGGAAAAAGTACATTGCCAGTAGCAGATGCCAGTTCAGAGGTCAGCATGGCACTTTGGCTTAATCTCATGTGCAGTCCCTAGGAATTTAGCACTGAGGGGAGTTTTAAGTTAATCCTAGTTATTCCTTCGAGGCTCTTAGTTTGCACAAGTTCCATATGGAATTAGACTTTTATATCCATGAACTCCTCCCTTTCATTTATCAGACAACTGGGCATTTACTGAATAAATTAATGTTAATTCCATTGTGAAAGCCCCATCTTGAGAACCATTCTGTAGGGTAGTTTATAAAGCCCTGCTGAGAGAAATCGAAAGTAGCTTTCCCTTCTAATTGAAGCTTTCAGGAAATAATTGATTATGAATTGCAATAGGGTAGCAGCGTGAGATTTCTTTGATATTGTTTCTGATAAGTGAAAAATTTTGCCTAATAAGTTCATCAGTAACACAGAGAAGCAGCTGCATTCAGTTAAAGTGAATCTGGCATCAGTAAATCTTATTTTCCACCCCCTCCCTCTCAAAAACATTCTAGCTAACAAACCATTATTTCTATACTGTTAAGCTCCGAGGAAAGAATTTCAAGTTAGGAACAGGAAATGGATTATAGAAGGGCCAGTGAGTGCTTGATGTGATTTTTCAGTCCAGTTTTATAAGGGTTAACATTACCTTCCAGGTACAAAGATCCTAAAATACACTGTGGTCTTAAACATCCTGCTGTATCTTTTCAACAGAGTCAGCATATTTCATTAGCGCCTGTTCCAAAGCTTGAGGAAGTCCTATATAGCTATCAGCCATTGCAAGTGGAAACCTATGGGCCGCCAGTTCCAGAGGCTGAGCTGCTGGGAAAATTTGGGTAAGTTTCTGTTTTAATGTTACTGTCAATGAGATGGTATTCCTTCTGGGAATGCCACCACCTTATTTTTTTCCCCAAAGCAGAGTTTAAAAGAAGGAAAGAAAGGCAAAACAGAAGAACCTTAATGAAATAGTCGACTTCCTGCCCAAACCAATGTTTTGTTTGGGTGGCCAAATGTGGTTTCTGCTTCTCCCCCTCTCTTTCTTTGCTTGTCTGGTCTTTTATGGATCAGTTGAGAATTCGGCTGGATCGCATTAATGTTTTCAAGGTTGCTATTGGCAGTCAAGGAGAAATAGCTGTTCATTTTCAGTTGCACAGTACTAAAAAAATAAGAAAGAACACAGAGGGCTTGATTTGTGCTGCTGCAGCAGCAGGCCAGTAAAAATATCAGAGCTGGTTCTGTGCCATGGGAGTGGTGAGGTTTCCTTCTCTGACCTAAAGCTCAGAGATGGGCTCCATCGACCAGGGGAGTGTCTATTGTCCAAGCGCCATTTAAATGTGTGTGTGGGAGGACTGGCGTATGTAGTGGGCAAATCCCATGCCACCTCTCCCAGGGATCCCACTGGGCTGGTATCCCCATGTAAATGGTATAAAATTGCAAATTATATTAACCAGTGACTGGGTTCCCACATCACTCATGGGTAATTCACCATGGTTGTTTGTTATGTAGTGCAAACTTAAACCACTCCCTGCAGGGTTGCTCATTGTGGGGCAACAAACAGTCCTTACCACGCACTGCTTGTAATGGGTTGTTCAACTCATAATGGGTTGTTGTGTCATCTGAACCCAGAACATCAGTTCCATCGTGGGTTGTGGGGACTAGCTAGTGATTGGCAAAACCCCTGCCCCTCCTGGCAATCTTGAAAGCTGGATGTGCAAGAGACAATGTGGAGTGACCAGTGCTATATCATTACCTTTCTTCACCTGCTAGCCTTTTTTTGGTCCCAGAAAATTCTGCAGCTGTGTGTGTGTGTGTGTGTGTGTGTGTGTGTGTGTGTGTGTGAGAGAGAGAGAGAGAGAGAGAGAGAGAGAGAGAGAGAGAGAGGGAGAGAGGGAGGGAGGGAGGGAGGGAGGTCTGGTATACAAATGAATGCTTAAGCCTGTCTGATATATGTAGTCTTTGCTTGTCAATGACCTTGTAAATTCCAGCTTCCAAAGGAAAATGGAGTAGGTAACAGACTGATGGGAGAAACGCCATATAGGCTAATTTATGCACAGTTGGCAGGTGTCATTTGGCTAGTTTTCAGTTGAAAAGAACAGGGGAAAAACCGGTGATCGAGGTGGCATCAAAAGGGGGTGGTGACGATCTCATCCCCTTAACAATGGAATCCTTCAACTTTTAAGTGTTGAACTGACCATTCGTACTGTCCTTTACCATTTCAGTGCTTCCTAAGTTTCCAGCCACTGCAAAAAGGGAAAATATTAATTTCTCTGCTTTCCAGAGTACTCACTTGTGCAGTTCCTTGACAGTTCTAGAAAATAAGCCCGAGGAGGGAGCTGAATGAGATTAAATGAATGGTGCTTCACTGGGTGGGTGGGTGAAAGCACAGCTGCTACCCCACTGCTCATCCTGTTTGGCCATCTCTAAGATTTTTCTTTTTGAACTGTCACGAATATTTGTACATTTGTTTGGACTGTGGAAATGTGCACATTTCATAACTGGGAAGTAAACGGAGGGGAAATCTGCCACTAATTAACAGCAGGGCAGCACATTGTTGGGGGGGGGGCAGGGTTCATACCTGCAGTAACAGAGCAGTTGATGCAGGTGTGCACATTTTCCTTCCAGTTGCTTCCCAGGTGCTAAATTGCCATCTATTTCCCAATCCCCCAAAATGCACATTTTTCAGAACTGTCAGGGAAAAGCAGTTCATGCTCTGAAAAGGAGTCTTGAGGAGATATTTGTGTGTGCAATTCTTTCTCCCTTCTCTGAAGCAGCCGGATCCTTGGAAGTGTTGAAAAGGTAGGGGGCCCTACGAACTGTCGATTCAGCACTTACATGCCAGAGGATTGTGTTGCTAAGGGGGCGATATTGTCACCACTCCCTTTTGGTCCACTTATGATCACCAGTTTCCCTTCTCCTCAGTTGGCAGCTGGTAACTGTGCACACATTTGCCTGTATCAGTCTTGACTTGTCAATTTCCTTGTATGTTACACGCTGCACTTTGCTCCCTTTAACAACTGAATCTTACAGCACAAGATTATATGTATTGGACAGCCTGAGGTACACACCTGTGAAAGGCTGGTGATGATAAATCTGACAAGCACAGTTGTGCAACTGTTAGGGGCTGAAAAACTGTGCTTACTGGGGGAAAAATATGGCAGCATATGAATAGGGGTAGTGTTTGAAGCAAGGAGGGAGAGACAAGATGGGGGGGGGGGGTTGCAAAGGATTCTGGGATCCTGGCTGGAGTTCTGAGGGAGAAGGAGCAGCAGAACAGGCCACGGTGAGTCCAGTCAGTCAGGTGCACCTTGGGTTGTTCTTTGAGCTCATTTGCAAGGCGGCTTCCCATGTCATGTCAGTGCAGTGGGTGTCCACCTGGGGGCAATATAGAAGATTCCCACGGCTTGAAAAAAGGCAAGGCATTTCTACAGATTCCCATGCGGTGCACTGAGTGCTTGAAGAAACAAAGCAGAAGAATGGATTTTCACATAGGTAGAGAATAAAAAACTGGTGCCGGAACAAAGGTTTATTTGTTTGGGACATTTCTATCCCATCCTATACAGTCGTCTCAGGATGCCAGTACAAAACAGCATGGTGGCAGCATACAAAATATAATATAAATATCCAGTAAAACCAATATTAAAACCACAGTTAATACTTAAATTACAGGGAAAATAAAAAGCTTTTGACCTGGTGCCAAAATGAAAAACACGTCTGTGCCAGGTGCACCTCTCTGGGGAGCAGTTTCTGGAGCCAGGGTGCTACTGCAGAAAAGGCCCTCCTCTAGGTAGCCACTCCCCTGATCTCTTTCAAAGAGGGCTTCTAAAGTTGTCTCAGACATATGGTGACCCTATAGAAAGTGACCATGGTCTGAAGTGACCATGACAGCCCTGCTCCGTCCTTCTAAGTTCAAGGCTGTGGTTTCCTCAATGGGATCCATCCATCTCATGGTCCATAATAATTACTAGATAAATAATACAGATTCAGTCTTGTGTGAGACACAGCCTTCCAATCCTGCTTCTTCTGTCTTTGAGATGCACTGGTTTTAAGGGGATAGTTCAAATGGATCAATAATGTTCTTAAAATCACTAAATTGAGATTAACTGATGCTAACGTGATCTGGGGTTACACTAGGTTTCCTGAAGGTCCATTCCAAAAGCTTAATTGAGGAGCCTGTTCAATGTTGGGTTTCTTACCCAGTTTATTGTCCTGTGTTTTTTCTCCCCGTTATCTGCTGTATTGAGTTATCCGAGGCAAATATTAATTAGATTTCCCAACCCTGACACAGCCTGATCTAGCAAACACCACCTGTTAGTGGAACAGCTGCTTGGGCCTCCAAAGCCCTGGGATTTCTGATGACAAATTAAAATGTGTGGCAGGAAATAGGCCCCTCATTCCATACCAGGGACCTCTTGGTTCTTGACATTTCAGGTTTTCTGCTAGAGTTTGAGAACTCGATTTCAGCAATGTGTGTGAGACAAAGTGTCTTGTGTGTAATGCGTTTCAGCCCAAGACCAAAGTTCATTTGATTCTGTTTCCCGTTTCTTAAATGTTCCTGCTCTTATTTAAAAACCATGCCTTTCATAAATATATATATTTTAAAGTAACACATGGTGTTGATGTCTAGCTGCATTTAATCAATTTATTGCTTCACTTAATAGATTTTTTAAAGTGCCCGTCATTAATTGAGCAGCGATTCTTAAAATTGATTTAAATGAATATTTTAGTACATATTTTAAAATCTTTTAAAACCATATTTAATGTGAAAAATGCAGCAATTCTTACTACACATGTTAGCAGCATTTTAAATCCATATTTTAATATGAAAACTGTCTGTGGCAAGCCCCGTCTTAAAAAGAGGCATTCACATACCAGAGGGAATGCTTCTTGAGTTAAAATTTCATTATTATTGTCGCTGATATTATTACTGCATGGCATTTACATCCTGCCTTTCTTTGTCTTGTAAGAAACCCAAGGTGGCTTACGAAGTTCTTTTCCTGTCCATTTTATTCTTAACACAACAGCCCTGTGAGGCAGATTGTGTTGGAGGAAATCAATAGCCCCAGGTCACCCTGTGGGCCTCATGGCTGAGTGGGACCAGAACCCAGATCTCCTGAGTTCCGGTCAAGCACTCTTAACCTCATATTTCTTGTTAATCATGTTAAAAGGCAACAGAGGTGGTAAGCACCATCTCGGGAATTCCTTATAATACCTTCCCCAAACGTCCCCATCAGATGAATTGAGCCAGCATCCCCCTGTCATCCCAGCCAGCATGGGCATTGTCTGGGGATGATGGGTACTAGGTTGAGAAACTTAACTTACAGTGACCACAAGATGGGCCGCCGCCACCACCATCATGATCCTCCCCTTTGCTTCCTGTTTCATACATCGAGCACCTTCTCCTTGGTCTGTTGGAAGGATGTCAGAGAAATCCCCAGAGAGTTCAAATGAGTTGGGTTTCTATGCATCCCACTTCTGTGCAGATTCTCCAGTAGACCATTTTTTCAAGGGGAACAGTTTTTCTGGACTTTGGCCTAGCTGTCTGCTTGTGGGGCATGCCTGCAGTAAAGTGCATTTGCAAACCGGCACTATATTTTCATATGTATCTTTTAAAAAAATCCAATTCTGTTAGAGTGGGCAGCAGTGGGGGAAAAGGAGCCCGTGAAGCACCAGCGGAATGGATTGGACAAGATGCGGGCATCCCTTCTCTGGTATAATGTATGTGCAGCAGCATCGAGGGAAGAGGGAGGTCTGTGGGGACGTGGCGGGAGAAGCAACTGTGGCAGGTCTTAGGAAAGGAACTGCCTCTGCTTGCTTGTTGAGGTTGGCAACCCAACTG